GTCGAGTTTTGTGATTGAATTGGGGGTGAGTAATTTGAGACATATAAATGACCATTTTAGCCTTTCATTATTAAAAGAAATTCAATGTGTTAATTTAAGGGTGTAAATTGGAATATTGAAACTAGAGGTACAAACTTGTTATTTCATCATACTTTGAGTGGGAATACTGTAAAAATTTTATAATAAATTTGGGCCTTTTTGACTTTTTTTTTTTTTTGGGCCACTGGCTTGGATAAGAAATTATACACTATTTTTATTTTTGTAATATATTTAAAAAACATTTATAAAAATTTTGAATCCTTTTTTACCCTATTTTTTGGTGGGCCTAAGCAGGTGTCTCACTTACCTACCCCTTAGGTCGGCCTTGTTTTGCGCAAAGCCACACCCTACGCTACTACAGCTTTCCTCCATCATCTCAAAAAAAATAAAAATAAAAATTATAAATTCTCTTTCCACACCCACAACCCAACACTATTGCCCCTTCACAGTTCACACCACCATAGGGACAAAGCCAGAAAAAAAATTCTGAAGGGGCCAAAATGTTATCTTCAATAAATAACAAGGCCAGAAAGTGATTAAAAAGTTACGACTTCATTTGTTTCACTCTTCCGAATATTATTCTGGTTTTTCCCAATAAAGTTAAATAGTAAAATTGGCTTATTATCACAATATTATTATATATTATTTAATTTCTTTTAAACCCCCCTAAATTTGTTAATTTAACTAAACACCCACAATTTTTTTTTTTTTAGAAATTGCAAACACACCCCGGCCACCCTCCTGCGGTGGTGGCCGGCTGTCCCTATTTAATGGGTGGTCTGGGGGTGTTTTTGTTAACTTTTAATATTTTATTATAGGGGTGTTTAGTAAATAAAAAACATATGGGGTATTTTTGTTAATTTTCAAATCCTACATCGTAATACACACCCAATTTAACCGTTTTCAAAATATTATTCTAAAAACTATTAGAATAATGAACCAAACAGACCTTACGTTTACCAGGACTAAAGTGTTACTTTCAAAAACTAAGGGTGTCTTATATTTATAAGGTTAAATTGTTATTTTTCTATATAAATTTAAAGAATTTTGTGGACATAGTTCCGCCCCTGCACCACCACCACTATTTTCCCCAACAATCCACATCCACAACCATTAATAACAAACAAAAGCAATTTGGTTTAAGGAAAATTAAAAAAAAAAAAAAAAAGAACAGAAAAAATAAAACCTGAGGGGATTTTCGAGTTAGCCCAAAACTTGGGGTTTTCAATATTATCCCTTCAGTAAATTCTGTTTAGTGTTGCAGGTTTTGAACATAATCTCACAAAATTGAGAGACTATATCCCACAATAGACACATCATAAAAATGATCATGTGCATTTTCTGTGGAAACATATTGTATACTTAAATAAGATTAGCAAATAATGCTTTCCTCTAAATATTTTAAGATTAGCAAAGAATAAAGTGTGACCATGAACCACTGAGATTGAGTGCAGCATAATAACCCAAAAAATATAGTTTGATACTCCGCTAAGGAGATTCAAAGGGATAAGCACCAATAAATTCATAACATGAACTAACGTCGTCATTATATTCTGTGTTCAATCTATCCATCTATCAAATTAGTGTTTACTTTTGAGTCGAATGTCTTAGTGTTGTGAATATACTGAAACCTATTCAATCTTGTAGAATTTCTATCGCAAGAAAAGGCAGGTGAAAACTTTTCTTAGAGGAGAAAGATAGGAAATGAGTAGCAAATGGATGGTTTCCATGAAAGAGCTAAAGAAGGTGAGCAGTTTGGAATGGCTGGTGCATTGGAAACTCTCTGTGGACAAGCTTATGGAGCACAACAATATCGGAAGCTTGGAACTTATATTTATTGTTCCATCATTTCACTCATTCTAGTTTGCTTTCCGAATTCGGTCCTGTGGATCTTCACAAACAAGTTACTGATCCTTATAGGCCAAGAACCTGCAATCGCATGCGTCGCACAGAAGTACTCGACTTGCCTCATTCCGAATCTTTTTTGGTATGCTGTACTTCAAGCACTAATCTGGTATCTCCAGACTCAAAGCTTGATCCTTCCGATGCTCGTTAGCTCTAGTGTAACTTTTTGTTTCTACGTACCTCTTTGTTGGGCACTGGTGTTTAAGTTGAAACTGGGATGTGTTGGCGCTGCATTACCTATTGGTTTAGCATATTGGTTTAATGTGTTTCTACTTGGATTTTATTTGAAGGACTCCTCATTATGTTAAAAAACTCGTGCTGCGTTTTCCAAGGATGTGTTCTTGAGCATCAAGGAGTTCTTCAAATTTGCTGTTCCTTCTGCGGTAATGACTTGGTAATTTCTGTCTCTCATTCTTTCTGTCAAGATTTTGGTTCTCTTCAGCCTTTTCTGGTTCCAGGTTCCTGATATTTTCCTTCATGCCAAACACTTTAACAGTCTGGAATGGCAGTCCTATGAGCTTATCATTTTGCTTTCTGGATTGCTACCTAATCCAGAACTTGAGACTTTAGTGCTCTCCATATGGTATATATGCTTCTTTATATTATTTACCCAAGAAGACAATATTTTACCTTAACATATGTCTTTAAAACATGTTACAAGAACAGATGATACAAATTTTGACTTGTAGTCCTTGTTAACAGCTTTCCCATTACTTACCTACACTACTTCATACCATATGGATTTCGGGCTACTGCAAGGTTTGAACTAACTTGTCTCTTACGCACAATTTATGGACAAATGATATCAAACAAAGCTGCTTCGATACATTGACAACGGCTGAATCTACAATTTTGCAGCACAAGAGTTTCCAATCAACTTAGGAGCTGGTAATCCTTAGGCAGCAAAAATGGTTGGTTGTGCCATAATGGTTCTTGCAGTCATTGAGATGGTTCTTGTAAGGACAACTCTCTTCTTCAGTCGCCACATTTTGGGATATGCATTAAGCAAAACCAAAGCAATTGCAAATCAGGTGGCAAAAATGGGTCCTCTTTTATGTCTCTGTATCACCATGGACAGCTTACGAGCAGGGGTTAGTTATCTTTTTTCCAAGTTAAATTTCTTTTACTTGAATAAAAACCGAACCAAACCCCTCGGAGAGATTAGTTTGGTATGAGGATGATTTGATCTCCAGACCTCTTACTTCCATAACAAGAAAACTAACCAAACGAACTAAGTTATACCCTCAAGGTAAAATCATAACTTGACACCACCAGAAAATCCTTTTCTCCCGACGAGCACTCCTGATGCGAAGGAGTTGCGTTGGGACTCTTCACTAATCACAGCACAACATTGTGCCGGCATTTGCTGAAACATGTCCTGACAAGCACTCCTGATGCGGAGGATTTGCGTTGGGACTCTTCACTACCCACGGCACAACATTGTGCCGGCAGTTGCTGAAACATGTCCTCACACATCTGGAGTCGATACATTGTCATACACTGATGCAGTATGGCATCAGCCTATGGGAAACCATATTCTGATGCCGGATGTGATGGGTTATCGTTGAACCAATCCTCAGGATGTCTTGGGATGCAAACGATGTTGGTGTTGACATGTACTCCCGATGTGGGCTTCTTGTCGGGGAAGAGAATGGACAAAGTTTCCCGATGTGACATCAGTGGCTTTCTGAAGACTCCGACGCATTATTGTGTCGGAGATGGAACGTATATGTAATAGAATTAGAAGAGTTTATCAGAAATTAAAAAAAAAAAAAAAAATTACAATCATTTTCATTTCAGAAGAGAATTACGGTCAATTTCTCTTAATCCCCGTAGCTTAAGCAACAGGCAGAATTTAGGAGCTTATGTAAGTCTTGGAGCATATTAGCTGGTAGGAATTCCAGTTGCTGCAGTATTGGCCTTTGTTCTAAACTTGAAAGGGAAGGGTCTTTTGATTGGATTAGCTACAGGATCTTCTGTACAAGCGGCTTTGCTAGCTCTCAGAACAATCTTCACAGATTGGCAAAAACAGGTTTCTAATCTCAAGACTTGTCTGCACTATAAATTTCATGCCTCTGAAACTGGCCGACTGACCAGATTGTCTAATACTAGAAGAAAATGAAGAAATAAAACTTTGAATAGCTGAGATTCAACCTAATTACAGACACACACGTGATTCGTAAAGACCAACTTTGAATGTTGAGTAAAATTTGATGTTTGGATATTGCAGGCATCAAAATCAAGGGAGAGAAATTTGTGAAGCAGATTCTCAGCCAAGTTGAATGAGCAAAACATATGCAGTTGACAGGTTAACAAAGAGGAGATTCTGGAAATCTTTTACACTTTAAAAGAGTGTTATCAGGGCCCTTTGATATATTACAACCTGAAATCATGCCCCTTGAGAACCATAGAAGGCTTATTCAACTTTATCTTACAAGAACCTCTTGTTCTCCGAACCTAACCCTCCAGATCAATATCTAAATCAGAATGAGAAGTTCTGAATATCTGTAGAATTGTATTAGACATAGTAACTTTGTATGCAAATTGACATGACACAAACTGAATGAAAGAGTGTACATAAAAGGTTAACTTGATAATACAACTTTATCATACTTACTTGCAAGAATCATTTGTTATCTGAAACTACTCATCTTGATCAATATCTAATCCGGATGAGAATTTCTGACTATCTATAGAATAATACTACACATGCAAATTTTGTAAACAAATTGACATGACATGACTTAAAAAGTCAACTTGATATTAATAAATAAGAACAATTAAAAAGTAATGCCAAATCAATTTGTATACATAGTTTTTATGTGCAGCATTACGCATGTCTATATATATCACTATTTATTCAAAGAATTTCAACTCTTTGTAAGGACTAGATGGAATATCTAATCTAATTTCTTAAACTATAAAAGCTCTGTTGCAACCAAAAACCTAGCATGCTACTAGAATGAATAGATCAAACCAAACTCAAATACAGAAAACACAGAAATACAGATGCAAATACGTGACACGTGGGGAATTCAACTCAGTATCTTCGCTCTAATATTCAACACCGGTGTTAATCTCTCTAACAGGATTAACATTTCAACTTTTTGTGACATGACTAGATGAGACTGTTTTCTCACGACACATAAGCGTCTCATCTCTTCAAACTAACACCTTTACAAAAAATACCCTGAGAATGAATATCTCTAACCATAAATCCCCTGTTACAAGCCAGAAATTGTTCCAGGCTTCTAATGATATTCTCTGAAATGCATCAAAACTGAGCTTTTCAGGTTTCTTCCATATAAAATACTGATAATATACAAGAATTTACAGAACAAGCACCACCCGGAACTACTGTTACTAGTAGATACTCTAACTACTATCTGATTCAATCTGAACTAGCTTTTCAGGTTACATCAAGAATCTGTTTGATTGATGATTGAATCTAGCAACCTTTCTTTAACTATAAGATACTCCAAAGCTTGGTGAAACTGTAGCCTTGAAAACACGGAATTATATAAGCATAAACTTCCTGGTTGTAAGTAATTCAACTTAGCTTTAATCTATTTACAAAGCAGCTCAGACAAGAAGTTCTATCTGAAAATCACCTTTTCTTTTCTCATCTTCCTTCTTGCATCCATAATCATCAACTATTATCTGCATAGGCTCTATGTTTTCATCTCATCGCCACCCGAGTGTCTTCTCTCTGCATAGTGACTTTGAATTAGTTTTTGATTCACAAGCTTAGACATTGTTAGTGTGCAGTGGTAAAATTTCATGACCGAGTGTGCAACTAGACACAAGGGCGTGTTCACTCAAAACAATCCTCTCAAGCGCCATTTGACATCCTCTTTCAAGGAATTACCTCAAGAACATTTATAGATAACCACAGCTTCAGAAAGGGAGAGATGCAGAGAGGCATCATACCTTGGTTTCCATTGACCATGTGTCAGGTCGGCAGAATGTCCTGGAGCAATCTGAAATGTCAAGTGCATTGCTCTCATATCATTTAAGTGTACACCAAATAATGAAACAAAAATGAAAAAATACTTTGACTGTTTTCGCGTAAAGATACTGTTATTCTCAGTAACCGTAAGTGAAATGGAACAGACTCATATAAACTGTCTTGAGCTTAAAGGGAGTTTAACGAAAAGAAAATCGAAATGAGAAGTACAACCTTGTGGACTAGCTTTGCATTCAAAGCCTTGGGAGTATTTGGCACCGACAATGAGATAAGCTTTTCCTCTCGTAGTCCTGAAGATGATGCAGCCTTTTGATCTATTCGAACCACCGGACCCTTTTCCAGTTTTCCCTGAAAGACGTCATATGTTTCACTGACATATCGTCCTCTAGAAAATTTTCCAAGCTAGAATGTAATTAGAATACTACAAAGTAGGTTCAAGGCAATGTTCATTCTTTATAGAGAATCCTTTAATATGTTTTAAAAAACTACTTTTTTCCATAATTAGATCCCAAATGACATAACATAAATAATCTTGTCTAAGTAGCAGCTGCCACTGTAAAGAATGCATGCATGACCTGATTTAATTAGGCAACTTTTTACCTCTTTCTCTTTTCCTTGTTTGACACAACTCCTCCACCCAATTTCATCCCCATTTTTTTTATTTGATTCACTCCGAATAGAATGGTTGGCAGACCTGTCATTTGCAGACAAGCCGATCGGTCAGATTCTATTCCCTAAACCTTACATCATACAGCCAAATAAAACAAGCAGAAACCAACTATATCAGTCATATATTTGGAACTTCAAATATAGAAAATAAAAAATAAGCGTAAAAAATTCTTCTGCATAGAGTCCACAAAAAACATGTGTTTCATGAGTTTCTGGTTCTCCGTTTTCCACTCTTCAGCAATAACTACTCAACTCAAATAAAGACTTCATAGAAACTTCATCAGAGCTATTGACACTACTACATTTTAGAAGTGTAAGTGAGATCAGTCATCTGCAGACATGTTGATCCACATTAACATTCCATTTGTAACTAGAAAAGTAATAAATATCATAAGTTCCTAAGATGACAGTTTCCACATACTGAACTCTTAAAACTTCCTGGATCTTTCACCCTTTAATCTTGTAGAGAAGTCACTAAACTCTAAAATCATCCAGGCAACTCAATCACACTTATTTTATACAAGTTGATACATCTACAAGAAAGGCGATGGAGAGAGAGACAAAGACAGTTAGACCTCTTGGATAGAGCTGTGTTTTTCAAGCCACCTTTAACCATGATATCATTCGAAATCCTCTGCAAAATACAAATGTTATTCCACTGCCAGGACACATTATTAACAGAAGCACTAAAATACAAACAAAAATGAACATAAAACAGTTAACATACCTTAGCTGATTGAGCACAAACTGGCACTCTGGTTGGTAACTTCTCGGCCACGGCTTGGGAAGTTATGTTTGGCTTCAACTGTTGAGCTTGTATACTCAGAGAAGACCTTTGCTTCGAAGATTGTGCATGTTCTGGCAATCTAGTTGATATCATCCTTGCCATGCCTTGAGAAATTGGAGAAGACTGCATCACAGCAGAAGATTGAGCATGAATTGGCAATCCTTTTGGCTTATCCCTTATCAACAAAGAGTTGAAAACAGCAGCAGCCGGGCAAACTTCAGTAAAATTTCTATTTATCTTTCTTGCAGATTTAGGGTCACTTTTCTTACTTGTAAGAAGGGTACTGTCAGATATGCTAACAGCTTTTCTATGAAGGGTTAGATTCAACTTCTCAGATTGCTTAACATCATTTTTTGCAGTTCTGCTTCTTTCCGATATTGTTGTTTTGCTTCTACCAAGAGCAACTGGACCCTGATTAAAGCAGAGGTTTAGAACAATGCTCATATCCATACAAGCAACTTAAATAGTGGAAAGTGCAATAATCCAATCTTAAAACACAAAGCAAATTCAAATTCAAACCATAGATGTGGTCCGAAAGTTTAAGCATAAGTCTCAACCTTGCAACTTCGTACAACTTGTATATGTAACATTTACTCATTTTTCAAACTAAAAACAGCAAAAATTTCCAAGTACATCCAAATTTTCATACCTTCTTTGGCTGGTTTTCTTTTCGGTTGACTGTGCCGGAGCCATGGTTACTCTTCTGGGCAGTTTTCAAGCTACTACTCGATGGCTTGTGCAATTGAGAAGCATTTTTATTAGAAATTTTCGCTTCAATAACGGGCAGCGATACACTCCTTTTATGCTTAAAGCTAGCTTCCCTAGAGTTTCTTTTTCTTCCTTCGGTAGCTTGATCTGACCGTTCCACAAGACCTCCTGAAGATGAGTTCAGATTACTAGTCATATTACAGTCAGAAATCGGTATTGAATTAGCCCTCTCTTCCTTTTTTGACACTACAGAATTTACATCGCCTTCTATTCGATTTTTGCTACTCTCTGCATCTTGACAAGCATCAGGTTGGATAATTTCTTCCTGTTCTGCTTGCAGCGCTTTCATAGCTCTAATCCTTCTGTAGTATTCTTCAAAATATGCCTTCTTCTGAGCAACTAAGCCGGGGTGCTTGAACTTCTCCAGCTCCTCTTCATACCTGTTGTGACTGAAAACTGACCATTTTTCCCAAGCCAGGGACTCGGCAGAAAATCTTCCGAAAGATATTGAATCCTGCTTAAGAATTCCACAGAGTGATACAGCCTGCTTTTAAGACAAGAAACAGAAAAACAACAGCAAAATAATCAGCTAAAAACTCTGTAACACATTTGTTAGTGTTCCATTTTTTAATCAGCATCAAACTTGCAATGCAATCAATAAAATACATCAGCTCAATTGCATCCTTGTGCCATACAATGCACTTAATCATTTTTCTTCTAACACTTTCTTGAAACAATAAATCCTAGGTTGCTAGCTTGCTAAGACATAACTAAAACAAAAATTATGAATCCAAATTGTTAACAAATCATAAGATTAGCAAGTAGTTGTTCAACACACAAGGATCTACAACAAGTCTTGTAATTTTAAGAAACAATTTTTTCATAACGTCGAACATTGCACTTGTAACATTTAACCTGAAATCATATACAATGAAATACAACTAGTAGTAAGAAAAATTATTTGATTAGAGATCCCCCTAACCATGTTACTAGTCAAGCATTTTAATTGCCTAACATGAACAGTAATGAATACCTTCAATGAAATAGAATAACAAAGACAAATATACTGGTGCGCCTAATAATTTTTCGTGTATATATACTGCATACATCAATGATTGTTTATCATAAAATGAATTAAAAAAAATAAAACCGTAAACTGTTGAAAAGTAACAATCAAATACCTCAGACTCATCCTGGTGCTGGTGGGCTAATGGCAATTCAGGACATGAAAAACTAGCATTGAAGTAAGCTTCATGATGATGATGATGAGTCTCAGTAGCCATCTCTCTTCTCTCTAACTCTCTCTATTTCAATCTACATTCTACTCTTAACATTCTAGCCCCTGAAATAACAAATATATCAACAACTTCAAACTCCAATAAAACAGGTTTGTAATAATTGCAAAGAAAATCCTAAAAGAAAATGATAAAAATATTAAATGAAAGTGCATGCATGCTATTAATGAACCTCTTGCTGCCACCTGGGTTAAGTTTCCATCGTTTTCTTGGCATCCAAACGGGTGCAAAAAGAAAAACTACAAGAAGAAAAGGATGAAAGAAAACGTACCATTATTTGAGGAAGATTAATCCCACTTGCGTCTGAAAGATAACCACATTTCAATTACAGAAGATTTCAAAAACCTTCTTAATCTTTTTTTTTTTTTTTTTTTTTAATTAGCAATTATTTATAGCAGTTTTATTTATGAAGAGATATCGGTTGGTTAGTTGATTCTTCCGCTATTAATATTTTGAAAAATAAATAAATATATATTTTTTTTTAATTCTCTAAATTTATTCTTGAAATTTCAAAATATTAAGTAATTTAAATAATAGATAATTATGAATTTTTAAATTTAAAAATTTAAAAATTTGAACAAGTAATTACAAAAGGAGTATAATAATAGCTTTTGTTTTGATTCAATAATTAAAATTTTAATTTAACAACTATAAAATATATCAAATATTAAAATTCCTTAAACTCTTAAATTAAATTAAAATGGCTAAAAAATATTTTTTTTAATTAAGAAAAATTTAATCAAAAAAATAAATTAAAAATCTAATAAAAGTATTGTCTCTAAATTGATGTTTTTCCCAACAGAAAGCAACTAACACACCAATCTACTTCCTCCTGTTGCCACGTGTTCCACGTCCTCACACTCTCTCATTTAAATACCCATTTTTTACTCCTATACATCTGGGCTTATCTTCCTCAATTAGGTGCCCACTTGTTTATTACACGTGGTGATTATTAAGCCATCGACGCGTATGCTTCTTTGCTTGTTGGTTCTAGAATTATAGGTTTGGATAAACTAGAATGTTGCTTATTTTATTTATTATTTTTAATATCAGATATTATAAAGACGGATGTGAGTCCACAGTGATGTAGTGGTTTACAAGATGGGTGCCACGTGGTCAAAGCATGGAAGGGCTAAAAGTCGTGGCGAAGAGATTACGAATTTTTTGATTGTGTAGAGATGTCCCAAAGAAGTTGTTGTGATGCCACGTTTCTTTCCACGTGACAATGCACCGTACAAACAGAATGGCTTTGTGGAAAAAGGAAATTGACTTATTTGACCACATATGGAAAAGCATAGTACTAATATCATTTTAAAATTTAAATTTTTCTTAATTTGATATTGTTATTTTTTTTAAAGATGTGAAATTATGAGTATTATGTTATTTCACAACTTGTGCACAAAGGTTTTGCATTCAAGAAGACAACATGATGACACTCATTGATATAATAAAATTAACTTTTGTATCATTTATATTTTGACAAAATTCAAGCACAACGAGAGGATACCTTGAGCTCTTGAGCTCATTGCCATATCCCACATGGTGCTTGAGTTTTGGAAACAAAACAAAAAAAAAAAAAAAAAACAAAAAAAAAAAAAAAAAAAAAAAAAGAAGCTATTTTCATATTTAATTGATGGTAGTTAAGTAAAGATTCGATATAAAATTAATTTATGGACAAAAGATAATCATATACTCATATTATCATAAAAAAAGAAAATATTGTTCAATATATCAAGAAAGTGATACAATTCCTTCAACAAGGGAGAGAAAATATTTTCAGAATTTCATTTGGGAATTTTTTTAAAAATAATTTTTAATTATCAATTTCTATGCATAAACACTCACAACCAATAATAATTTTAGTTGTGATATTCAAAATAACTCATGTAGTAATTAACTTCATTCAAAAGTTCATTGAAGTATATACAAAATTAGAATTGAGAACATTATTTTTTTCACCAATTAATATTCTTTTTAAAACAAATTATGCTTTATTAAATAAATAAAGGACTTTTTTTTCATCAATAGTTTTGGGCTTAATTATTTTGAATAGTCTAAAACTTGTGTTGAAAATAGAAATCAAAAGACATTGTTTCTGTATTATATTGTTCATGGGGTCTCCCTCTTTGGTAGACAGCTCTTGTTTCATTATAGAAGAAAATATTAGGAATAGTTGTAGTTAATTATTTATTAATTTTTAGACATGGAAGTCCTATATGTTATTGATGGAAAGGAGTAAATTACAAGGAGTAATTCTAGTGCTAAAATTATGCTTTGATTGATTATGCTGGAATTATGCCTTGACTCCAGTAATCAATTACATGAATTATGTGATTGTACATTCATTTCATTGATTCTTTCCTTTGTTATACTTACACCTTTTTTTGTATAAATAGAACACAATACATGTAAGTAAATACAAGTTGAATACGAAAGATTATTCACTTCATTCTTCTCTTTTAGGCATACTCTGACATCATTCTAATCTTTGCCACTCTTGCCATTTTATCACATTAGCTTCTCCAACTTTTGCTCTTCTAATTCTCTTTTGTCCCTACAAAGGAAAACAAATACTCATACTCAATTAGATTTTTTTTTTGTTCTGTCTCTACAAGAGCAAACAAATATGCATTTTTTTTATCATACTGTCTCGGTAGATCAACCACACTACTATCCACCATCCAACTCATCCAGATGGAAACTAATCAAAACCCAAACCCAAACACCATTGACAATAACTTAGCCCTACAAACCCATACTGAGCCACCACCCAACTCACACAATGGCCCAAACCTAACTGTTAGCAATTCAAGCCCAACTCCACCCAATTGCAATACATTCCTAAACACAACCATCGGCCCAAACCCAGATATCAGCAACACAGAACCCAATCCAAACAATGGCCCACACACACACTAGCCCATACCCACAAATTGGCCCAAACCCATTCTCATACTCGTATGGAATGTTTGGTCATAACTCTTATCCAATATAGCAAACGGGTAACAATCCTTCGTTCACCTTCTAGATGATTCCAACTGCCATCAAACATCGCCCTGAACCAGGCAACGTTTTGTTTTCTGTAGTGTTAGATGGGCTAGAAATCACCCTTATTAAGCAACCACTAATTGGCTCAAACAATTACTCAACATGGGCTACGGATTTCTGGCGAACTCTTGTCACCAAGGACAAAGAAGGATTCAAAGACGACATTATCCCACCACCACCCCTCGAATCACCTCTTCACCGTTAGTGAAAGAAATGTAATATGCTGGTCAGATTGTGCTTGGGAAACTGCTTATCCACAGAGGCGGTGGTCGGACTTCCACCGACTAAAATTGCCTCAGAAATGTGGAATAGCATCTGAGATATGTACGGCAAACTAGATCTCGCAAAAGTGTACACTCTTCGGCAACAATTAGACTAGATTACCCAAGGCAACTCAACTATCACCGTGTATTTCAACAATCTCTCTACCATATGGCATGAGCTTGACGTCGCCGAAGAGAAACTCGAGGGACCACTAGCCATTCTTCGACAATTCCACCACATTCAAGACCAAGAACGGCTAAGTTGATTTCTTATTGGCCTTAATGAGGTGTTTCTTGCCTTCAGAACACAAGTTATCACCGCCTCCTCATTGTCGAATCTCTAACACCTTTTTCAGTTGGTTGTACAAGATGAGAGTCAACGCCATGTGTTGATTCCTCACTCTGGGGATGTTGTGGCCTTTGCCAGTGCATGAACAAGGCCATCATTGTCTTCTTTAGATTCAAAGAAAAATTTTAGAATTTTTAGGTCAGAGCAACTAGGGTTTTCTAACCCTGAAAATGACTCTCTTTTATATCATGGAATGAACGACTCAAATGGAACGCACAATCCAACGGCCACAAACTACTCTCTCTTCTACAACAATCCAACAGCTCTTGCACTACCACGTCACCGTTGGGTCAAGTTGGTCAAACAAGCCAAATGGGCCTAATTTTGCAAATGGGTCCAATTGGGCCAATTAATCAACTGGGGCAAACTGGTCAAATGGGCCTGGATCCAACAAAACTAGGAAAAGCAAAGTATACAGTGACTATTGTAAGAGAAAAAATCACTCTCAAGAAAATTGTTGGAAATTACACAAGTGCCCTAATACTAACAACAAGGAGAAAAATGGTAATTCTTTAGTAGATCAGATTACCACTATTCCTACTGCAAACCAAATGTTTGTGCCAATGATTAGCCCAAACTAGTACAATCAACTCCTTCAGAAGATCAAATTCCACAAACGCCCTCGACATCATATGTAGGTACATCTTTATGCATGAATTTAATTAAAGATAATCTTTGGATTGTTGATTCAAGGGCTAGTGATCATATTATTTGTGACCCTAAATTTTACAGACACAAATCCACCACATTATCTATTTACATTCCTATGACAATTGGAAATATTGAACCTGCCACCCATATAGGAACAGTTTGCCTTGCTGACAAATTAGTACTCAACAATGTTCTATGTGTTCTCGCTTTTCACTTCAACCTTATTTCAGTATACAAAGTATGCATTGATAATAGTTGTCTCTTGAAATTTCCTCCTAATACATGTGAATTTCAGGAACCTTCGATTGGGAAACTGATGGGCTTAGGTAGAGTTAATAATTGTTTGAACTATTGGACCCCTGATGAAGTTTCAAATTCTTTGTCTTCTTGTATTACAAATAAAACTATTCATTGTAATACAAACAAAAATAAAAATTCTATCATTCTTCATCAACGGTTAGGTCGTAGTGCATCTATTTCTCAGCCAAAATGTCCAATATATCCTTTAGCAAAACAATCATTCATCAATTTCCCACACAACACATATACTAAATAGATTTATGAATTAATTCATCTTGATATATGGGGACCTTATCACACTCCTAACCACGATGGATCCCGATTTTCCTTGACAATAATGGATGATTTTTCTCAGGATACATGGGTTTTCCTAATGCAAACAAAAGCTCTGACACTTACTCACATTAGGAATTTCCTATCAATGGTCACTAATCAATTTCATACATCAGTTAAAAGAGTTTGAACTGACAATGCCCGTGAATTTTTTAACCATCAATGTTCATCCCTTTTCCTAACCCTTGGCATACTTCATGAGAGTTCCTACATATATATACCTCAACAAAATGGGGTAGTTAAGAGAAAACACAGACACTTGCTAGAAGTAACTAGAGCCCTTAAACACCAAGCCAATATCCCCATAAAATTTTGGGGCGAATGTGTGATCACAACCACCTACTTGATCAAGTGGTTAATGGTAAAACTCCCTATGAGCTGCTTTTTAGCAAAACACCTGACCATAGTCGTCTTCGGGTGTTTGGTGTTAGTGTATGCCC